GTATGACTGGGGTGGCGCCGGCCTGGCTACCCTCTACTGCTACATAAGCGCGACGTCTCGCGGGCGGGGGAACATAGTCGGCGGTTATTGGAGAGCCTGGGAGGTACTTTCTGCCCCCTTGATTTACATTTCTGCTTTTCATTATTTGTACCTTGCACACACGGCTGACTTTTGTTGACTTTTTCATTTCCTGAGAGTTGACTTTTGTTGACTTTTTTCAATTTTGGCTCATTTTTGCCCTTTTTTGCAGATTTCTTGAGATGACGGGTCATTTCCCTTATGGAGGAGGTCCTCCCGGTGCCGGAGGTGAGCCGAACATTATGTCTTTGCCCCCGAGGGTTCGGCCATTCAACCCCGAGAGGTATCACCCTCGGGAGCATATCCTTCCTCGGGTCGTTTTCTACCATTTTATTGATTTTGATGATCGAGCACCCGTGGATTTGCTATTGCGGGAGCCGGAGTCCCACCTCTCTCATCAGGCACGGGAGGTATGTACTTCACTTTTACGTTTTCCGCAATGTATTATGCATTTTCTGTGCATTTCATGCTTTCGCTGTGTTTATCTGCTCATTCTAGCACATAGCTTGTTCTGAACACTTAGTCTATCACACAGCATTCCGTTTGTATCTTGAACACACAGCTCAATCACTTGAATTTTTGAACACGCAGCCCATATATTGATTGTGAACACACACGGCACACACTTGTTGAGAGTTGAACACACAGCCCAAAACTTTGAATTTCTGAACACACAGCCCATTGTTGATTGTGAACACACAACTCGAACTTTGAGATGAACACACAGTCCACTATTTTGAAATCTGAACACACAGCTCAAACACTTGATGTTGAACACACAGCTCACACTTCGATGACAAACACACAGCCCACTGATTTTGAAGTCTGAACACACAGCTCATTCTTTTAGATGAACACACAGCCCACACTTTGATGATGAACACACAACCCATTCTTTGAGATGAACACACAGCCCACACTTGTTGAAAGTTGAACACGCAGCCCAAACTGTTGAACTTCTGAACACGCAGCCCAATTTTGAGGTGAACACACAGCACACACTTGTATTTGCACGCAGCTCATACACTTCCATTCTGAACACACAGCTCATATACTTCATGTTGAACACACAACTCACAGCATTGTATCTGATTTGGTTTGCACACAGCTCACACATTTCATTTGCACCCAGCTTATTCATTTCATTCAGAAATTGAATACATGTGTTCATTATGAATGCAGGTGTCTTCCCGTGTCACACGAGGATATGGCTCCATCGTTGCAAGGGAGTGGTACACAGAGCTCCCGGAGGCCGTTCATGATTGGGTTGACCAGGCAGGGTTCGGACCCTTTTGCACGGGGATATCTCTCTATCCTGCTAGCAGGACATTGATGGGTGCCCTAGTAGAGAGATGGTGGGACACCACCAACTCCTTCCATTTCTCAGCTACCGGGGACATGACTATGACCCCGTTCGACTTTGCTGTATTGACAGGCTTTGACGTGGGAGGCTGGGCAATCCCTTATGATGAGGATATGGACGAGTGGGAGGCCGCCTGGATCTATCTATTGGGAGCTCGCCCACTGGTTGATAGAGCATCAGGCAGGGTCTGGTACACTTGGTTTTTCACACATTTCAGGGGGACCAAGCCCAAGACTCCCGAGGAGATAGCGCAGTACACTCGAGGGTTCTTGATGTTCCTCCTCGGGACCACCCTGTTCTCTGATAGGGGAAACACCATCGGACTCTATCTTTTGAGTGCTCTAGTAGACTTACCACAGGTCAGTTGGTATGACTGGGGTGGCGCCGGCCTGGCTACCCTCTACTGCTACATAAGCGCGACGTCTCGCGGGCGGGGGAACATAGTCGGCGGTTATTGGAGAGCCTGGGAGGTACTTTCTGCCCCCTTGATTTACATTTCTGCTTTTCATTATTTGTACCTTGCACACACGGCACACTTTACGTTCTGTACTTTGCATTCTGCTCTCAACATTCTGTATTCTCCGTACATTCTGCATTCACATTTCTGCACTCAGCATTCTATATTCTGATGGCTATTGGCCTGTTTTCCACAGTTATGGGTCTTTGCGTACTTTCCGACGCTGGCCCCGGAGCTCGAGGTGGAGGTGCCTCTCACGATCCCTTACTCGCTTGTATTCAAGGGTCAGTACCGGCCAAGGGCCCGAGAGACTTTGCCCTACCTGCGGCAGTATTTTGACACAGTGCGGCCGACAGAAGTAATTCAAAACTCTCAGTTCTTCATGTTCTCATCTCTAATTCCTCTTGCACATTTATGATTTCTAATCGGCTCATACATTGGTTATCCGCAGATCACATGGCAGCCCTGGGCGCCCTTAGGTGGAAATACCCGATTTCAGCTTGCTGGGGGGTGGGCCGCTTCCCGGTACAAGATCTTATTTGAGGGGCCCGTTGGTAGGGCCTGGTTTCTAGGGGACCGCTTCATGCGTCAGACTATGGGCTACCCCGAGCAGAGTGTCCCCGCAGCACCTCCGGTCGACATGCGGTCCACTGAGGGGCTCACTCCCCAAGATGTTGAGTCGGCCATGCTGGGCACTGATGTACTTCTACATTTGAAGGAGGGAGAGTACGCGACCTACCGTCATACATACTTGATGCCTCCATTGGCAGGTGTTCGTACCCCCACGAGGAGACCTGCTGGCATGCCATCATTGAGCCGGGCCCGAGCTGCAGATATCCCTTCTACCAGTAAGGCCTATACATCTAGAGGTGGGGCTGGACTGGTTCCCCCGATTCCCCCAACGTATCATCAGGCCATATGGCCAGCTATTCCGACTGAGTTGGCAGGATGGCGATACGGGACTTCATACCCGATTCCGATAGAGCCCCCTATGCCCGATCATCGATACGTCAATGATCCTGACTCACCACCGGTATGTTCCACTACTTTTCGTTTACCACTCAGGTACTTTGGCATTCATTTACTTACTGATGACTTGAGTTTGTATCTGTAGCCTACCAGGGAGTATACGGAGGGGTTACTCGGGTTAGTAGCCTCACTCGAGGGCATGGTCCTGCGGAGAGAGACGCAGTTGTCCATTGTCGGTGTCCCGGTACTATTTAGTTTTTTTGCATTTATCATACTCCTGATGACATGCTGAACTTGAATATTCCACTGCATTGATTGACTGTATGTGTAGAGCACATCTGACACACCACATTTATGTACTGTATCTACATACACCCACCCCTCGTAGTTTTCTTGCATCTGCATTTGATATACATACTTTGGCTGATGTATTCAAATTGTGCTCTTTCTTTTTAGATGCCTCCGCTACATACTGGGCCACAAGCTGGGCCATCCAGGCCTCCTCGGAGAGCTGGGAGAGGGGGTTCGACTCGCAGCCGAGGCAGACGCAGAGCACCTGTCGTAGAGGAGAAGTCCAGCAAGGAGGAGGAGCCTGAACATCCCCAGTCAGAGACATCCGCTAGCAGAGAGGATGACTCTGGTTCCGGTTCCTGTAGTGGAGATGATGCCGAGGAGGATTCCGAGGGCGATGACTCCGATTCCAATGATGATGATGGTGCAGAGGCTGTTCCGTAGAAGAGGACGAAGAGGGCCTCTTACTCTTGTGCTTGGTAGCACTGATGCAGCTGTTCTTGCTTTATTTCCTTTTTTACTAGTAGTTGTAGCACATTGTACATTATTAGGCAGTTTTATGTTCTGTAAAACTTGTACCCTTGTTGTAAAAAGTTGTAACAGTGCGAAGAACATAAAATGCAATGCACGAAAATGAGATTGAATGGAATTGTGTACTGAAAATTGCCAAGTCAGGTAGTGAACTGACACAACAAACTAAACAACTTAACTTACTAAGAAACAACAAAACCTTAGCAAGTTTACAACTCGATAAGCAAGACACAACAATGTTGATTAAAAAAAAAGTAGCAACTCAATACACGAAACTCGATGACTCGATAAGCAAGACACAACAATGTTGATCAAACAAAAATTAACAACTCGATACACAAAACTCGCCAACTCGACAAAACTTAACAACTCGATAAACAAAACAACTCGATAGACAAAACGACAACTCGATAAGCAAGACTTAACAACAACTCAATAAACAAAATGTATTTCAGACGATCGGAGTGACGGAACGCATCCGAAACAGAAGAAAACTCGCACTTTCAACACTCCCGATGCATGGAAATGCTAGGAACTTTCTTCTAGAGGCTAGGACAAGACCAAAGCCCCACTTTCCTCCATGGCCGACCACCTAAGGAAGCTGGCCGACCAGCTTTTTTTATTGGAGAACAAGGGGGCTGGTTGGCCTACCAGAAAAGGTGGTCAGCCGACCACTTGGCTTGGCAACCACCAGTTTATTGACACGTGTCCCCCGAATAGTGCCTTATCCTCTATAAAAGTCCCAGCTTCGTGGTTCATTCATTTTGTCTCAGTTTTGCATCAAAATGGAGCCGTTCCTCATCCAAAATCTCACAGCTTGGGTAGCCTCTCTTGATGGCTCGAAAAAGTTAAACTTCCGGGGCTTCGGCTTAAATGCACTAGTCACGCTGGGCCATACTCCGCTGCATCTTCCTTTCCTCCATGCCGCGGCAAGGTTTTGGAACCCGGTAACACATGTCTTTAGCTTTGGCAGGCAAGAGATGTGTCCGACCTTCGAAGATTTTCAAGCTTTAATGGAATCTGAGCGCAATGAGGAAATCTTGCCTCAACTCCGGTTTAGCCATGTCCAAGCCCTAGGACGAATGTGCGGCCTCACTTTACATGACGCTCGGTCTCTGATCTGTAACGGGGAACTGGACATCCTCAGCTTGATTCATCATTTTTCCACTACTGGTGACCGCGGTGACCATCATTGGCAGGGCTATCGGCAACACGCGCTTTGCTTATGTTTGCTATCTCATTTCTTGCTTGCCCCGGGCTCCGGTGGATTCTGTGTCCGGTTGATCAAGGTTTCCCAAGGTTTGAAGGAGGGTAAGAGCTGCATTGCCATGACATTGGCTGAGACATTGATGGGCTTAGATGCTTTTCATTGCCGGGAGACGGCTAGGCTTGCGGGGAGCCCACTACTATTGCAGGTAATGTTTCCCACCCAACCTCACATATGTATTGCTCACATCACATGGCCCTCAGGCTCGGTTTTTCTCACAAAACCCTTTTCTTTCTTTTCTCTCATCGTATATCTCTCTATTCTTTATTCTCTCATTTTTTTTATCCCTCCCCAGGTGTGGTTGATGGACAAGTTATAGATTGTGGAGCCTTGCCCAGCATACTCAGCTCGCGGCTACTTTTTTCGACAACGCCTGGTCGATGCCCTGGATGAGGCGTGGTGGTACAACTGGATGTGCAGTTTGTCTGCAAACCGCATCACTTGGCGCTGCCCTTGGCTCAATCTGCCGGCGATGAGTTACAACATGACCTGTTAACCTGGGATTCAATTGATTAGCATGACACACTGTGTCTTCTACTTTCTGTTTCGGTTCCAACGCCAGTTCAGGCATGATCAGACTTGCCCGCCAGAGGGGATAGAGTACCCTGCTGCATTCCCAGCCCGAGGCGCACAGCTTTCCCGGTACGCCACAGCATGGAGGACTAGAGAACTCCTGGCTCGCGCTCCCACTTTCAGTTGCACCTTGTCTAATGAGTGTTTGGATTGGCTCAATGAAGAGGCACAGGAAGGGCCCACCTTGGCATCGGAGGCTTCGACCAGCTTTGGGAGGGGGCGCAGGAACACCTGACTTATCTATGCCCCGGATTTATTGCTTTGTTAGTACTTTCAAGTTTTCTTTGTGAATGTAAGAAAAAGCAACTTCAATTTGTATGCAAGAGCAGGAGAACTCTGTATTGAAATCAATGAAATTGAAGGTTGTGGGTACTGAAAATTTTCCACTTTGGTCCAAAAATGGTCTAGGTTGTAAAAAGATTAATTTTGAACAAAGTCAACTTTTATTAAAACTTTTCAAAACCATTTTCGATATGGATCAGAACTGGACACGCCTGAAATCTGTCACTGAGATGCACAACCTCGAATCCTAGCAACTGGAAAGTTGCCCCTAGTCTGAATAGTATCGCGGCACTGCACAGTAACGGAAAGTTGCCCCTAGTCTGAAAAGCACTACGCTGGAGATCATAACCGAACTCTCGAATGCTGAATAGACAAAGATGTCCGAGATGATCAAATGGACAAAGTTGATCGGGGAAAAGTTTATGGCTGAACTTCGGGATGAAGTTTCTTACGTATCCCGAAGATGGGAATCAAGCCTTACGTAGTTCAGGCTCAGGTTCACTCAAGTATTTTCACTCTCCTTTTACGCTTTAACTTTTGCCAAGGCTGCCCTTTGTGGGTTTTCAACCTTGCGAGCTCAGTTTTTATAATTTTAAAATTTTTTTCGCTCTGACTTTTGCCTAGGTCGCCCTCTCGGGTTTTCATTCTAAAGAGCCTCTTAGGGGTAATATTTCTTCAACTTGTCCATGTTGATCGGTTATGAGAACTCTAGGCCATCTAGGTCCATCAGAACCACAGCTCCACCTGACCAGATAGACTTAATGATGTAAGGACCAATCTAATTGGGTCTGAACTTGCCCCTGGGGTCATGAATGGGAGCTCGGTTGTCCTTGAGCACCAAATCTCCTTCTTTTAGATTCCTGGACTTAACCTTCTTGTTGAAAGCCCAGGCAATTCTGCGTTGATAACCATGAACATGGTACAGTGCTTTTAGTCTTCTTTCATCAAAGAGCATGAGTTCCTCAAATCTGCTCTGCTGCCAATCTGCTTCGGCTATCTGACACTCAACCAGTACTCGCAAAGACTGAACTTCGATTTCAATAGGTAGAATGGCCTCCATCCCATAAACTAATGAATACAGAGTCGCCCCAGTAAAAGTTCGAATTGACGTTCGGTAACCCCACAGAGCAAACGGCAGCTTATCTGGCCAATCCCGGTAGGTTTTCACCATCTTTTACAGTATGTGTTTGATATTCGTGTTGGCGGCCTCAACCGCTCCATTGGTTTGCGGCCGGTATGTGGATGACTTATGAAAAGCCACGTTGTATTTCTCCAACAAGTCAATCACTTCCTTCTTGAAGTGGGAACCATTATCTGAAATGACCTCGTTTGGGACCCCATAACGACAGATGATATTGTTTCTGATAAACTTTGCAATGTGTGACGCCTTCAACACCGCATAAGATTGGGCGTCAACCCACTTCGTGAAATAATCTATCGCGACTAGGATGAACTCATGCCCATTCGACCCCCTCGGAGTGACAGCCCCGATCACATCGATTCCCCAAACTGAAAATGGCCATGGCGAAGTCATATTATGCAGCTTCGACGGTGGAATGTTCATGCGGTTTGCATGGATCTGACATTTGTGGCATCGCCGAACAAAGCCGATACAATCCTCCTCCATGGTGGACCAATAATAACCTTGTCTGACGATCTTCCGCGCAAGCATTACCCCGTTCATATGCGCACTGCATTCTCCTCCATGGATGGCCTGCATCAGGCGTTTTGATTCTTCAGCTTCAACGCACAGCTTATGCATTCCCAGGTGACCTCTTTTATACAATTTACCTCCGCAGATGATGAACTGAACGACCATTCTTCTGATTGCCCTTTTATCCTTGGTATTTACCCCTGGTGGATATGCTTCCTTCTCCAAGAAATTCCAAACATCGTAATACCAGGGGTTCTCATCTTGAACCTCATCTATAGCAACAATTGACTCGTAAGTCGGCACAAATTTCTGGTTGATAATGACTGGACGCATCCGGACTCCAAACGGGATGTCTATCATGGAAGATAAACTTGCTAGTGAATCTGCGAACCTGTTGTTTTCTCTCAGTAGATGACTGAAGTTTAGCATCTCAAACCAAGGAATCAGCAGGTCCAAGGTATGGTGGTACATTATCATCTTTTCCTCTTTGACCTTTCAATCCCCCTTAGCTTGGGATACAACAAGATTCGAGTCCCCAATGACGTCCAACCATCTTTTCCCTAGTTTCAGGGCCGCTTCTAGACCAGCAATGCATGCCTCATATTCTGCTTCGTTGTTCGAGACTTTGAACCGGAGTTTGAATGCTAGAGGGATACGGGAATTGTCAGGTGCTATCAGCAACACTCTTATCCCATACCCGTATTGGTTTGGCGCTCCGTCAAAGTACATCGTCCAAGTTTCGTCTTCGATATGCAAAATGGCCTCATCTGGAAATAAGTACTCAACTACT